GCGGGTGTGAAGTGATATCTCATTGTGGTTTTGATTTGCATCTCCTTGATCACTAATGATGCCGAACATCTTTTCACGTGCTTTTATTAGCCATTTGTGTATCTTCTTAAGAGGACTGTATATTTAAATCCATTGCTCATTTTTTTGGATTGTCTTTATATTATTGAATTGTATGAATTCTCTATATATCCTGGCTACGGATCCCTTATGAGATATGTAATTTGCAAATATTTTCTCCCATCCTGTGAACTGTATTTTCATTTTCTTTTTTTTTAAAGATTTTATTTTTTCCTTTTTCTCCCCAAAGCCCCCTGGTATATAGTTGTGTATTCTTCGTTGTGGGTTCTTCTAGTTGTGGCATGTGGGACGCTGCCTCAGCGTGGTCTGATGAGCAGTGCCATGTCCGCGCCCAGGATTCGAACCAACGAAACACTGGGCCGCCTGCAGCGGAGCGCGCGAACTTAACCACTCAGCCACGGGGCCAGCCCCAGTATTTTCATTTTCTTGGCGGTTTCTTTTGAAGCATCCTGCTATTGTTCTTTATTTTAAAAACTTTAATTTTTAAATTTATGTAAGAAATACATAGACATAAAGAAAAAATAGAAAATTTTGAGCAATACATAAAAATAAAAGGAATAAACAAAACATTATAATCTCATCATTCAGAGGTAATTGCTGTGAACATTTGGGGCTTGATCCTTTTATTAAAATGAAATCGCATGGGGCCGGCCCCGTGACCCAGTGGTTAAGTTCGAGCGCTCTGCTTCAGCGTCCCAGGGTTTTGCCAATTAGGATCCTGGGTGCAGACATGGCACCGCTCATCAGGTCATGCTGAGGTGGCATCCCACATGCCGCAACTAGAAGGACCCACAACTAAAAATACACAACTATGTACCGGGGGGCGCTTTGAGGAGAAAAAGGAAAAAATAAAATCTTTAAAAAAAAAATGAAATCACATTATTCATTTTTTAACCTTTTGTAAATCTCATCAGTTGTGGATAACTTTCCATATCAATAAATGTATTTCTACAGCATCATTTTTTATCTTGCATAACATTTAATCACGTGGATGTAAAATGTACCCAAACAATTCCTTATTGTTGAACACTTAAGTTGTTTCCAATTTTTTACACTTTTATAAATGAAGTTAAATTCTTATGCATATCTATGATTACTTTCTTTGGATAGATTTCTAGAACAGGAGTGATGGGTGAAAGTGTATGCACATTTTTCAGGCTGTGGAAACATGCAGCCAAATTGCCTTCTGGAAAGATTGTGGCCAGCTCTGTTCCTGCTGCCAGTTTGTGAGAGAGGCAGCCCTGGGCCAAGAAGCTAACCTGGTCCGCACAAGAGAAGCAATACTGTTGTCAGTAACAGCAGTAAACACTTGCCTTGCACTTGTGTACCAGGCTTTCTTCTAAGCACCATGTACGTACTGACTCCTTTATTCCTCAAAATAATTGATACTATTATTTTTCCATTGTACAGATAAGATGATTGAGGCACAGAGAAGTAGTTGCTCAAGATCACACAGCTAGGAAGGGCAGGATTTGAACCCTACAAGTCTGGCTCCCGAGTTCTGGCTCCCAACTACCCTGATTTACTGCTTCTTTATATGCATGGCACGTGGAAATTACTGGTGGAGGCGGGAATGTGGATGAAAGCCTGGTACGATTAAGCACAGTGCTGGCTGTTGCTGTAAGATATTTTCTATAATGCTAAGAAAGCATCCTTTTATTCTGAATTCACTGAGAGTTTCACTTAGGAATAACTGAAAAACTTTATCACCCCTTTCAGCCTCCTCTTCTTTTTTGCATGTTATAGATCAAGGGATGGCCAACTTTTTCTTAAATGGGCAGATAGTAAATATTTTAGGTTTGGGGCACATAAGCTCTCTGTCGCAGCTCCTCAACTCGCTGCTGTAGCTGAAAAGCAGCCACAGACAATATTTAAATTACAAAACCAGGTGGCTGGCCAGTGGGCCATAGTTTGCAAATTTTTGTTATAGACATTCATGTGGGTTTTCTCTTCTACTCACTGATATCGGGCCACTCCTGCATTTTGGAATAATCTGGCTTGACCGTGCCAGACCTAGTGCTGCAATCTATTATTAGTACTCTATTGAGGATCTTTACATCTCTGTTTAGGAATGAGATTAACCCATGTGTGTGCGTGTGTGTGTGTGTCGTGGTCAGGCTTCACGAGGAAACCTCATCTTTTTTCTATGCTATGGAACAAAGAATGACTTGTTCTTTGAAAGACTGATAGAACTTCCCCCCAAAGAAACCATCTTGGCCTGATGTCCTATTTGGAGATAGTTCTTTAGATCTCTTCCACTTTCAGGGTTACTGATGTCTTCAGTTTTTTCTATTACTTTTGAGTCCATTTTGGCAATTTACATTTTTCTATAAAATTATCCACTTCATCTTGATTTTCGAAGGTTTTGTCATTGATTTGGGTGTAGGTAAATCTCTTAATATTTTTATTCTCCCCATAATATCTCTTTATTTGATCCTTCTCATTCCTATTGGTGTACCTACTTTTTAGACATTGTTTGATAAGTGTTTATTTTTTTGGTCTTTTGAAAGTTTGCTTTGGGGTTTAGTTATCAATTGTGATATTCTTCTCCTTTCTAACGTATTAACTTTTACTTGTCATTGTCAAATTTTGGTCTTCCTGCTTTTCTCTTTCTAATTTCTTGAGTTATCAGATTATTTATTTTCATTCTTTTTGCATAAAAGCAAAAGACGGAATTTTCCTTTGAGGACAGACTTAGCTACCATCCACAAATTTGGGGGCATAACCCTCTCCCTGTTGGTATTTTTTAAGTATCTGTGATTTTAGGTGGTTTTTTTCTTTGATCCAGGAGAGTTTTAAGAGCATGACTTTAAATTTCTAAAAGTTTGGGATTTTTAATTTTCAAACTTCTCAATAGTTTCTAGTTTTGTTGCGTTAAGGTCAGAGAATGTGACTGATAATGGATTTATTACTTGGGATTTATTGAGATTTGCTTTGTGGCTTTTAATTTTTTCTAAGTGCTCCAATGGTGCTGGAAAAGAAGGTATATTTTCTGTTTTTAGATTACATAATGTTTGTCTATTTGATTGACATTGTTAATAGTATTCTTCAGATTCTCTGTCTCCATATTCTTTTTTTTTTTTTCATTTACTTGGTTTTTCCAAACTAAGGAAAGTGTAATAACTTTCCCACAACTGTTGTGTTCTTGTCTTTTCTTTGTACAAAATACACAGGTTGTTGCCTCTTTATGCTTGACTCTGAGTCTGAGTCATAAACTCAAGTCTTTAAATGTCTGGGCTGGAGAAGAAAATACTGAGGAGGAATCAAACAGCTAAATTGAATTCCATTTTAACCACTTCTACCCACGTGTCTGTATTTGCCTGTGTGTTAATGTGTGTCTTTTTGGGGGGTATTTGTGCATTTCAACATAAACATCTCTCTTGGGCATGTCTGTGTAAATATATTCTTCCATGTGTTGTTGACTGTGTGAGTTCAACACGTATGTCTATGTATGTTTATTCATCCTTGGCATCTTTTCCCTTAAATTGAACTTAAAACATAAAGGTTAGGGTCTACCTTGCTCTGTGCTGGCATTTTCTAGAGTGGTTATGAGTCAGAAAGCTCTGCCACCCTGTATCTTAACCCACCTGGACCTCTTTTCCTCTCTCCTGGCTGCAGAAGACCCTCCTGGTAAGTTGGTCAGATGCTGACTCTTTGCAGACTCAGCCTCACTCTGCGCCCACTGTCTGGGGACAAAATACTGGTCACCTAGAGGATGTTTAGGCCACACTTCCAGGATGGGTGGAGAGCCTGAGAACCTTCTTCCACCCTCTCTCCATTGTGCCCTTCAGGTCCCTTGGCCTTCCTCCTGCTTGTGCTCACACTTAATAAGCCAGAGCTCAAAGGACTGGACATTGGTTTAAAGGAACCCACCAGCATTTCTAGAAACTCATGATAGGCATTCAGTTCGTTTTATAGATTCAGAGCAAGCTCGTACAGAGGAGGAAAGCCAGTCCTAGAAGAGGCTCTTCGGACACCTTGTCCTTGGTCCTTCCCATTGAACTTGGTGAGCTTTACTGGCACTGATAGGCAGAGTGCCCAGGCCCAGGTGGGTTTTGGGGGGAGGGCTGGAGGAGAGTGACCATGCCACCTTCAGGGAGCTTGCTGACTCCCTGGGCGACAGGATACACACACCTAGACAGGACACACCTGGAGGAGCATTCTAGACACAAGAGTGAAGTGGGCCTATAGACGCACCATGTGCAGGAGGAGTTGAAAGGTGGGGAGACCAGTGGTACCACAGCAGGTCTGTCCACCGTATCCTACAGACATAACTGGAGGAAGGAAAGGGAAGAGAGTGTATTGTTACAAACTTCCTTTCTTCTCACTGAATTTCCCCCATTTAGTATAGTGTCTTTTGAGTAATGGGCATGTGGTATTTGTTGGATTTCAGGAACTCTACCTTGATTTGACGTTGGAAGAGGCTAAGTTCTGATTTCTGATGCTTTCTTTTTTTTTTTGCTAGGGTTAAGGTTGGGGCAGGATTGCTCTTTGAGGTCTGAGTGTCCTAGGTCTGCTGCATTTTATTCGTAAATAACACATTATTGACATTTTCTCCCAAACAATTATCCTATGTACCCTCTGATTTTAGCCTCAGTGTGTCCCTGGAAGGCAGGGGGTAGCGTGATGATTATGCCCATTTCACAGAAAGGAAAAGGGAGGCCCTGAGAGCTTAACAGAATCACACAGTGAGTGGTGGGCAGAGCTTCTCCATACAAGCAGGTGTTAGAACCTTTCCTCCCATCTGTGCCGTCTGACCCTGGAGAGGCGGAGAGTTCCAGCTCTCTGCTCCCCTGAACTCACCCAACAGGAGGGCTTGGAAGTCCAGGCCGGCCCGTCAGCCTTGCTCGGTTTCTGGATCACAAGGACCATGCTTGGCGAGTTCTGTTTCTGAAGTGATCTCTTTCTTTCTACCCACTCAGGAGGAGGAGTTCATCGATTGGTGGAGCAAATTCTTTGCCTCGATAGGGGAGAGGGAAAAGTGCGGGTCCTACTTGGAGAAGGACTTTGACACTCTAAAGGTGAGGCCTCTCGCGAACGTTCTCTTCGGTCCAGCAGTCCCTGGGTGCATGCGACAGGTTGTGGGAGATGCAACAGAAAGAAAATACATATATTTGTCTCCTCCTATATATATATATATATAAATTGTCTCCTCGTTTGGTGCCTGAGAACTGATGTATCCTGATGAACTAATTGAAGTCAGACATGTCACCCAGTGATTTAGAGGAAGAAGTCAGTGTGGGCTGGGGTAACCAAGAAAGTATTTTTGGAAGAATAGTGAAAAACACTGAAGTCTTTATGGGTGAAGTGATGCCTGGGATTTGTTTTAAAATGCTCAAAAGAAAAAGAAAAACTAAGGGTGAAGATAGATGGTGTGCCTGGCTCTCTGATAGATTTTCAAAATATTAAAAATTTTTGAAATGGCACAATATTGAAAAATTGCTAAAGCTTGGAGATGGGTACTAGGGATTTGTTGTACTATTCTGTCTCTTTTAAGGTTATTTGAACTTTCTATAATAAAAAATTTGTACTAAAACAAAAAGGCAAGTCAGTATGAGAATGTACCTCTAATTCCTTCTTCCCTATAATTGAGATAGAAATTACCTAGCAAATATAAAAATATGGTAAACTCTGTTTCCATGGAAATAAAAACAAAAAACAGAAAAACAACGCAAAACCAGGGGTGAGTCAGCCAAATTTTGGTATTTTAAGGAAATTCCACAAATACAATTACACTTTTTAAAAGTAGACTACTTTTGAAAAAGATAACCAGAGGTGACTCAAAATTATTTCCCAAAGGAATTGCGTAGTGTCCTGGAGAGGGTTGCCAGATACAATTCAGGATGCTCAGTACACTTGAATTTCAGATGGACACTGGATAATGTTTTAGTATAAGTATGCTTCAAATATTGCATGGGACATACTTATCTAACCGTTATTTGTTGTTTATCTAAAATTCAAATTTAACTGGGTGTCCTTTATTTTCACTTGTGGAATTTGGCAGCCCTACTTAGAGGGCAAGAGGTGGGCAAAGGCTGTCAGATGCGTGGGAAAGACCCAGGAACTCCCTAAGGGGACTGGATGAGTGAGGTTTGAGGCTTGTTGGAGGAGCGGGTGGCCTGGACCTTCGGGTGATCCTGCTGGCTGAAGGCCTTTGGTGACACTCAGGAGGGGGATTTTACAGGTGGCAAGAGTGGCCTCTGATACAGTGGAGGCTCCAGGTGAACTGTGCCTGGAGACCTGGATGCACAGAGACGAGGCCTCAGGCAGCAGCAGCGGCTCCAGAGGCACAGGCCTCCTGAGGAGGCAGCGTGTTCTTCGCTGACTTGGGAGTTGGGTGTGTGAGTTTGGGCGAAGAGACAGAACTATTTGTGTACCAGGGACAAGGTCCGACACAGTCGGTCTGGCATGTGGTCCTGTGACCTTGCCAAAAATGAGAAAACCAAGTAAGAATGAGGGCTCCTGCCAGGGTGGCCCATGGCTCTGGCCCCTTTGCCACTCCCTCAGATGCCGGACACTGAATTGGCACCCAGCCCTCCAGCTTGACCTCTCTGAGGAGATCTCTGAGGGTTTCTAAGTGAAAATGGGCTGTTCCAAAATAAAATGCATTAAACCTGTTTCCGGGGGGAAAGCCAGACCTGGAAGGAACGCTGGTCCTTTACGGATAAATAAATAGAAGAAAACCACCACCACCACTGCCACGAGTCTTTGAAAAATAGCCTGTAGCATTATGGAGAAAATGGGTAGAGAAAAAAACATATTTTGGAAATCACTAGCGTAGGGGGAAAAAACAACTCGTAGTCTCAATAGCAAAAGATAGAAAACAAGATACAGCAAGAAAGCATTGAAAACCAGAAATCATAGGAAAACACAATAGAAAAAGTTTAAAAATGTTAGTTTTCCTAACAAATAAAAATGGATTACACTCCCCTATTAAGTGATGAGGACTCTTGGACTATATCAAAAGCCAAAATTCATTGTACTGTCTTTAAAAGGTGCATCTCAAACAGTACCACTTAAAATGGCTAAAAAATAAATATTTTGACAAACGAAACAAAGTAAGTGCAAACAAAAGAGAAACAGAATTTAGAGTAAAATGCAAAGGAGACAAAATGGAATGTTTTATATAAATAAAAAATATACATATCAATGAAAAACCTCCCAAACATTTATGTAGAGAATAATAAAGCTTAGAAATACTTAAAGCAAAAATGGGATAGGAATATGTAAACTAATGCCTCACACAGATAAAGGCATGAAATGACAGAAATTAAATTTACAGTGGGGATTTTAATGCATTTCTCTCCTAGACAGAGGAAACAGGCAATAAATAAATAAGGAAATAAAAGATCTGAATAACAGGTAAATTTTTTTAAGCTACCTCAAAAGTGGCTTTAAAATAGAGAATAAAAATAATAAAAAAATAGAGTGCATTTTTTCCTGATGCACAGAGAACACTTACAAAATTTGATCACATATTAGTTTAGTAATAAGTTAACAAAAGCAGAAATCATACAAGACAGATTAAAATGCAATAAAATGAGAAATTAATAACAAAAGTTTAAACAAGAAGACCAACCACTTGGAAATTTAAAAAGTATTTTATTGGGACTTCCAGTATGAACATGGCTGCGTAAGTCAGCATTTTTCCCCTTTTCTCCTGGAAATCATTCAAACCCACAAACTCCATTTTCAGTAAAAGTTGGAAACAAATAAAACCCGCAGACTCCAAAATACATGGAAGGGCTATCCAAAGCCAGCCGAGATTGGGTAGAAGCCACTCAACAGTAAATGAAGAGAAGATGCTTGAAAATGATGAAAGTTGAGGTGGTAGCAGGTCCCAGAAAACCCCATACTTTCTAATAAAAGAATGTTGATAATTATTTAAGACAGGTCATAGGTACATGGGGGCTCTTTACTTTTGTGCGTTCTTCAAAATTTTCATACTAAATAGTTAAAAAATATAATTCCTGAAATTGAGGTTTCTCTATAAAATATAAAAGTTATATTGCTTGCTCATAACAATGGACATGGGAACTTTGGAGACAGGATCACGCTGAAGTCAGAAGCCTCTTGGACCTTGTTTGGGTCAGAGAAGCAGAGAAGGTGGAGCTACACAAGGATCACACAGATGAGGTGTATTTGCTGTGGGAACAAAGGAAATAACTGGTCTAGGAAAATCCAACGCATTTAGCGACAAGTAATAATAAAAGAAATAGCGCAGCATTAATTCAAAAATGCTGTGGAAAAAAGAAAAGCAAGTATAAATCAAAACTTAACCAAAAGAAGTGGATATGTACTCACTAGGAGAATTTTGCCAAGGAGCAGATGAGATGAAATATTTTGCTGTGAACTTTTTAGAAATAGGGCAGTCAGAATGCAAGAGAAATGAAAGAACTCAAGGATGATGAGAAGAGAGGAGGTGAAATATGAGCTAGTAGGATTCAGGAAAGAAGGAGAAGAAAGCGTCAAATTGGAAAGAGCACAGGGGCAGCATGGCCACATTGAAAACACAGCAGGGGGCGTGGAGGACAGAAATGATAAAAGTAAGTGAAATGAAGTGGAAATAAAGAAAGAGTTACAGGAGAATAAAGACAAAATGACAGAGAAGTCAGGGAAAGGAGAACCAATATTTGCATAATTGGAGTCTCTGAGGAAGACAACCAAAACAATGAAATAAAACAAATAAACATTTAAGCGTTTAACAAAACTTCAGTGAAATGAAAGAATACTTGAATATACTGATTACAAGGTCTGCTGTGTATCAGGAAAAATTGACCCAGATTGGTCAACCCTGAGACATATCTCAGTATGATTATTAGACTTTAGAGATAAAGAAGAAATTCTTTGGGCAGTCATACTGCGCCCCCACCTCCCCCAATTAAATGATTTAAAATAGGAAACAAATCAAAGTGCCTCACTTTCTCTACAACAACATTTAATACCCAAAGACAGTAAAGTATCACATGTTAAGTTCATCAAGGAAAGAAAGGGCGACCTGAGGATTTTGCATTCAGCCGAGCTGCCCTTCAAGCATAAAGGGTCCAGGCACCCAGGTGGCATATTCAAAAACTAGGTGATGTGGTTCCCATGGGCCTGTTGTGAGGGGCTCCTAGCAGATGAACTGGAGCTCACCTGGGAGCTCTCTCAGCTAGGACATACCTGGGAGAACCATAACAAGAGGACTGCTTGTGACCATATTTTACCTTAGACCTAAAATGTAAACAAGTGGAAGGGTTAGAGTAGCGGCACAGAATGTAAATATCAAATATGCTGAAATGTGGACGTGAGGAAACTGACAACAATTAGGTGGAGAAGGAGGACGGAGGGTGGGATACAGAGTAAGGGCACGTTGCCATATTACAGAATAACTGGAATTGACAGATATTATTGAAAACTGGCAAATCAAATAATAGGAGGAGAAGAAACTTATAAGCCAACAGTACAAAGGTAGATATTAAGGTAGATAATATTGTCTAAAACTAGGTGATGCAGAAGGAGAGGTGGGGAGGTAAGATGAGATTATTTCATCGTGGCTAGAGTAGGGAACTCATACATGCTATCCCTAAAGACATAGGAGACTAAGACTGTTATCAGTATATATAAATTTATAATGATATTAGAACATAAACTCAGGTCATCCTAGATATTCAAAGAACTACACACACACACACATACACACACGCAGGGAACAAGCAGCCAAAGATTAAAAAAAAATCTAGGAAACTAGAAAATGTAAAATAAATATATTATGACTATAAAAATATAATATAAAACCAAACATATCTGTCATATCAATACATGGCATATTAATCACTTATTAATTACAAAATTTGAATCAGATCTCAAAGCAAAATCTAACTCTAAAGTAAAGAGATTCATAAAGGTTGAAAATAAAAGATTGGGAAAATGTGTGCCAGGCAAATGCAAATGAAAAGAAAGCAGAAGTGACAATCTTAATATTAGATGAGAGGGTATTCAGGTCCCCAAACCCAAATGAGACAAGGAATGTACTTGAGAATGCAAAGTGGTGCCATTCCGAGATATGACAGTTGTGAGAATATCTATGTGCTAAATAAAACATCAGTATTTGCAAAACAGAAATTGCAGGAGAGAGAAGAAACAGAAATACACTGGTAGGTAGGGGAGATTTTAATTCACTTCTCTCGGTTCAAGTCAGATCAAGGGAACAAAAATGTGAGAGGATGTAGAAGATGGGCATAGTTATTAACCTGATGGAACCCTGTAGCCTGAAAACAGAGACCACACCTATGGCACATTTACAACAGTTGACCATGTCACATGCCGTGAAGAAAACCTTAATAAGTTTCAAAAAGGGTCAATACTGCTGACAATGGTTTCTGATTGTAATGCCATAAAATTAGAAATTAATGATAAGATCAAAAGCCTCTTCTATCTGGAAAATTAAAAAAACAACCCAACCTCTCTTTTAACAATTCTTGATAAAAGAGAAAATACTAATTGAAATTGCAGGACATCTGGGAAACAATGGTAAAATACTACGTATTAGAACTTAACTGATTATAGTTAAAGCAGCATTCAGAGGAAGTTGATAGCCTTAAAAACTTGTTACTCAATACAAAAGAATGAAAACTAAGCATCTAGCTCTTGGATGAGTGAACAAAAATGAAACTATGATTGTGGAATGCCAAGAAAATGAAAATGGAAACATTATACATCAACAAGATGGGGCAATGCCAAGGCAGTAGTAAAAAGAGACAATTTCATATAAATAAGTATTTTCTTTATCAGAAAAGAGGGAGCAAAGTAAATAATGCTTCAACTGAAAAGGTTAGAAAGAATAAGACAAAAACTTAGAGTAGGAAGAAGAAAATAAAAATAAAATCAGAAATAAGAAACTAAAAAAGAGAAAATGGTAGAATTGACAAATCAAAGAATGGGTCGTTTGATTCAAATGAATCAGCTGTATAAATACAGCAAGAAAATGTTCAAAATGATACAGACCAAATGTTAACCAAATAATTAGTTATTTTTGGTAATCAGAATTTGAAGCATTGATATTTTCTTCATATTTGCTTATATTTTCTAATTTTTAATAATGACTCTTTATCACTTGAATAATTAATTAAAAAATAGAACTTGAGCTAGGCCTAAATGAGAGATAATATTTAGCAAGATGAGAAAGGAACTTACCTGAAGTATCTTGTCAGTCCATTTCTGATATAATCAATTTAGCATATATATCAATTTGTGTAATATCACTATTTCTTAGGTACATTCTATCATCTATTAAGGAACACTCCTGCTTCATTTAAACCTAAGCAATTGAAAACATTGCTCTAACAAAAAAAAGTCATTGGCTGTTTGAGAGTAATGAAATAAATAAATAGAGTTCATAAATTTAAAGTGTTCCAAATATTTCGCCTGGTATTTGATACTCTGCCATTTGGACATCCTGGACAGTGAACATTTTTGCTTGAAATGCTGACCTGTGAATTTTCCAGAGTTCTGCCTCAATCTTCAAATAAAAAGTCAGTTAACTTTTCTTTTATTTGACTGTGATCTTATTGTCTTAAAAAAATGCACCACCATTTGTACGATGACTTGCAGGTACCTGGAATATCTGATTAACTGGAGAACCCTCTTCCTAAAGGCACTGAACAAATGTCTTCCCCTCTGGCTCCCTTCTGCTGTCTCTCTCTCTTTTTTCTTTCTCTCTCTTTTTAATCCCCACTATTTGCATCCTTTTCACCTCTGCCTTTGTTCTTTCCTTCTCGAACTCTCTTACCTCCACCTCTCCCACCCTCCCTCCTCTTCCCCTTTGTCCCTCCAATTCACTTTTGGCCTTTTCCCTCCTTTTCTTCTCGTTCCTCTCTCTTCCTTCACCCCAACACGGTTTTGTTTCCCTCTCCTTGTCCTGTTTCCTCTTCCTCTGCTGTCCCTCTTCTTTCTCTCTTTCCCTTGTCCCCTTCTCTATTCCCACATGTGGCAGGTCTATGACACACAACTGGAGAATGTGGAGGCCTTTGAGGGCCTGTCTGACTTTTGTAACACCTTCAAGCTCTACCGGGGCAAGACTCAGGAGGAGATGGAAGACCCATCTGTCGTTGGGGAATTTAAGGTAAGTCTTTGAGGACATATCCCTAACCTAGAGGGACCTAAAACTATGGAATGGCAGCAGTAAGTAAAGGGGGCTGGAGCAGGGGTACTGTAGTCATTACGGTAATGACCATGGTGCTGATGTTGGTGACCATGTGGGTGATGGAGGTGGTGATGGTGATGCTGCTGATACAGAATCTGATGGCAGTAATGGGATGGCATTGGGCTTGGTGATGTCAGTGGTGGTGACTCTGGTAGAGATGAGAGTAGTGGTTATAATGGTGATTGTGTTGGTGACAATGATGACAAAAATGAAAGTTGGCCCCTCTTTCTTTTCAGGGCCTCTTCAAAATTTATCCCCTCCCAGAAGACCCGGCCATCCCCATGCCCCCAAGACAGTTCCACCAGCTAGCTGCCCAGGGACCCCAGGAGTGCCTGGTCCGCATCTACATCATCCGGGCATTCGGCCTGCAGCCCAAGGACCCCAATGGGAAGGTAACATTCCTAGGGCCTCACCTCCCCTAGAATGAATAGCAGGCTGGGGTACCAATGGGCTGCAGAATCTGGACACAGTCCCTGCCCCAGGGAGTTCACAGTAAGCCGGGAAACCAGATAAACACATACAAAACTGAGAGGTTACTGGATGGAGTTCTGTCAAGGGCCAAGTGCTTTAGGAGCTCAGAAAAGGCCACAGTCAGTACTGACTTTGGTCAGTACAGGGGAAGGTTTCCTGGAAGGAATAGGATTCTTAAGGACTGATGGAGTTTTGATAGACTGGGATGGAAAAGAAAACAGTATCATAGGAGGAGTCAAAAATCTTGGCAAAGGTTTGTGAGAAGACTGCTTGGTGTAAGTTTAGCACGAGGATAAGGCATAAGGATAGGTGACGTTGAAGGTGTGGGCTGGGACTGGACTTCGTAGGGCTTTCAGTGGTGGGCAGAGGAGAGCAGGAGGGGTGGAAGTAACTGTGCTGTGCCTACCCACGGTGGAGCCTGAGGCAATAGGAAAAATCGGTAACACTGATCCTGTCTTTATTTAAAATTTCAATATTTTGTTCATCATTGACTGTTGGTATTGATTTTAATTTTTAAAATGTTGCATCAAAATATTGTTTATCTTGATTGTTGAGTCTTGGGGGCCCTCCCTTAAATTTTGTGCCTGGGGCACGTACCTCCTCGTCTCATTCTAGTCCTGGCCCTGAGTGAAAGAGGGGGGCGTTGAGGGGGGGCAGGAGGCTGGGGTTGTGGGGAGATGGTGGGGGGTGGGAAGAGGACTGAAGAAGCCTCAGAGACGCGTGGGGAAGGTGACTTCAGTTGAGTGTGTCTTTCCCCTGCTCCAGTGTGACCCTTACATCAAGATCTCCATAGGGAAGAAATCCGTGAGCGACCAGGATAACTACATCCCCTGCACTCTGGAGCCTGTGTTTGGAAAGTAAGTTGGGGGCAGCTAGGGTCTTGGGGTGGAGGTGCCCATCTGGATAACCCACAGCCCAGTGGGGGAGATGTGGCTGCCACTGAGAAGTCCGCATGTCCTGAAGCAAAGCTGTATTCCCTAAATCTTGCATGTTAATGGGGGCATAACCTCAGCCAGCTCTTCTTCACGCGCTAAAGGCTTGAGTCCCGGCAGAAGCTCCTAGCGAAACACAAACAATTCCCATGATGATCAGAAATCTAAACGGAACCCAGAGCATGCATTTGCTAATGATTCTTTTTTTGAAAAAATTAACTTTTACTTTGGAATAATTTTAGATTTATAGAAAAGTTACAAAGATGGTACAACTTCCATATACCCTTCACTCAATTTCCCCCACCATTAACATCGTACCTAATCGTGGTACTTTTGTCAAAACTGAGAAATAGTTATTGTTGTATTACTATTAACTGAATTGTAGACTTTATTAGGATTTTGAATTTTTTTCCATGAATGTCCTTTTACTGTCCCAGGATCTAATCCAGGATCCCATATTGCATTTAGTAATTATTCTCTTTTATTGTGGCATGTTCATCTGTAGCTGATAGAGAGAGGAAAGACATGGGCTCAAGATAGTAAAATGCTTCTTGAAATCTAAGAAGAAGGAAAGGAAGAATCAGGGCCCTTTGTATGAAAGTAGCTCCCAGGCGTCCTGACTTGCTTGTTGTTTAGACGTGAGCTTATTTAGGCCAGAGAAAGGAGACTCTCCAGGCAAGCTCCCTGCTCTTCCTCTGGCACCTGTAGGAGAAGGCGTGTGCTATGCCAATATTGTCAAGTAACCCACTGAATTCATAAACCGGTGTCTGTGGAGTTAGTTGTGGTCACTCAGCCCTGCAGCGAGGACCCAGTTGGCCTGGGGAAATGGCATTTTTGACAGGGAAACAGTCCTGGCCAGTGATGAGCCACCACCAAGCTGGAATTGGAGGGAAGGGCTGCAGGGAGGATGGTGGGTGGAAGAGAAGAACCCTCTTTGGTGAGCTCCAGTGGCCGGCATGGAGCCACCTGCTAATGGTGACGGAGTAGCAGATGGGGCCTGTTCTACAGTAGGGGCGGGTCAGGGCCCTGGGCAAGGTCGGGGGGGGGGGGGGCAGGTGTAGAAACGCCCCTCCCTCTCTATTTCACCGCCTCCCCTAAATCATGGCCTTGCTGGTCTGCCTGGGGTTTCACGCCTCCCTCGGTTCACAACAGAGACTCTTTCTGTAACCCTTGTGTCAAACAGCACATCTCACGAGATGTAATCAAAACACAACTTTGCAGTTGTCAACCCGTGTCCTGTAAGCATTTATCCTGTGGGGGCTGCCGTCCTCATTCTGGGAGTGGAAACTGTGGCAGGCAGGTACTTTGCGGCTCACTTTCAGACAGTCCACTTTGTCACAAACCCACAGTCTCAAGCTGGTAACCGGAATGCTCGTTCCCATGTAATCATGGACACCCTGAAGCTCGGGGGTAGCCGTCCCTGCTCCCAGCTGGGTCCACTTTGGGGAGAGCAGCGTGCAGCCTGTGGGTGTGGGTGTGGATGGGAGGAGGGGCTTTGCCTCTCTCCTTTCCCTGTCTGGTGTCTCCCCTGCCTCCCGACTAGTCACTGTGGTTGCAGATCTTGAAAGCTGATTTATTTTCAAGTGAGTGCTTTCCACAGAGCTCCCCTGAGCCCTCCCACTGCAGCTTTGGGGATGTGGCAGAGGCTGTGTCCCTTTAGCTGGTGGCCCCCACCCCCTGGGTCTCAGATGGGTCTCACCACAGTCCCTTGGTGTTGGAGCCTCAGGTCCCATGGGGCGGGACGCAGAACGGCTGCAATCTGGCCTCCTGGTGGCCTGCCTGTCCTCCGCAGGAAGCACTTGTGTTCCTTGCCCAGCCAGGACGGGAGCACAGCTTCTAAATGTAGCCCATCTCCTTCGCTATGCCAGAAGCTGCTTTCACTTCCTTGAGTGTGAGCTGGGTGCCAGGCTTGTGTCTCCCACCTGCAGGGGACTCATTTCAGGGGAGAAGGGAACAACACTTCCACATTTGAGCCCCACGGGGTATGGGGGTCTCAGAGCATAGCAGGAGCTCTCTCCAAAGGAACCTCTTCACAAATCCTCTCTCCATCCTGCTCTGGAAGTCCTGAGAGCGGACCCCAGGCCATCCCCTTGGTAAATTCCAGAGCCCTGCTCCTTGCTCTGGAGGTTTCACATCTCTTGTTCTGTAGCGTGCTCGGGGAAACTTCAGCTTTAACTTTCTGTTCCAATCCTTTCGTTTATTCTGTGGTCCATCAGGCAGGTACCTGCTCTTTGCTCAGCCCAGATCATCTGGAAAACTGCATACACGTGTGCACGTGCACACACACACACACACACACACACACACACACACACACACAAGCTGAGTACCAGCAGAGTGCTGTGGGTCTGTGCTTTACAAGCTACTGGGGACCTGAGTGTGGGCCACTCCTGGGAGCGGGGGAGGAGGAGGCCAGGCTGGCTTTCGAGCTCCTGTTCTGCTCTTGCCGCCCTCCTGAGTTCCTGCTGTGTCTGGGGACATCTGAGAGTTGGCATTGCCATGACATCCACCCCACCCCTGCAGGATGTTCGAACTGACCTGCACTCTGCCTCTGGAGAAGGACCTGAAGATCACTCTCTATGACTATGACCTCCTCTCCAAGGACGAGATGATCGGGGAGACGGTCATCGACCTGGAGAATAGGCTGCTGTCCAAGTTTGGAGCTCGCTGCGGACTCCCACAGACCTACTGTGTGTAGGTGCACACGGGCTGGCTGCTTCTCTGATCACAACCCCACCGCCTGAGTGCTGTGCTCTAGCTCGGGGCTAAGCACTTCATCACTGTTCTCTCACTCAGTCAACTGGGCTCTTGTCCCACAGATAAGGAAACTGAGGCCCAGAGATACTATGGCTTGTAAGTGGTGGGATTAGGATTTGAACCTATTTGACTGACTCTAAGAACCTGGCCATTCCTAGTGTTGCTATAATTCAGTCTTCTTAAGGCGCCCCCAAGGGCCTGTAGAGGGAAAAAGAAGGAAGGAAGGAAAGGAGAAGGGAGACAGACAACGGGACTCATGGCTCCACCTGGGCCTTAAAGGGAGCTCTGTCAGGTGAACTCGTGTGCCGACGGCCCCCGCCTACTTCCTGCCAACTTGGGTCCTGTTTAGGTCTGGTTCTCTAAATCTGGAAATTGGAAACATCTAAGTTCCAATTACACGTGTATTTAAACAAGTCCTTTCAAATAAAACCAGGCCTCAGTTTCTCCATCTGTAATTGGGGATCCTCAGTCATGATGAGCAATCGCCCAGGGCGCTCACTGTAAAAGTGAAGGGTGGGTGATACTGTGGGGGTGGGTACACAGGTCACTGCCTGCCCCTCTGCCCTCATCAGTGTCCTGGAGCATCTCATCTTTGTCTTGTGTTTGGGCCTCAGCTCTGGACCGAACCAGTGGAGGGACCAGCTCCGCCCCTCCCAGCTTCTCCACCTGTTCTGCCAGCAGCAGAGAGTCAAGGCCCCCGTGTACCAGACCGACCGTGTGGTGTTTGGGAATAAAGAATACACGATTGAAGAAATAGGTGAGTAGCCATGTGATCCTGAAACCATGGTGGGATCTCCCTCCACCTTCTTCTCTCTCGTCTGCCCTCTCCTATCATAACGGGGCGAACTGCCCATAACCCATATCAGCGGGGTGTGGTCTTAGATCTCTAGGGCAGCAGAGATGGACCAAACTTGCACTTGGTACTTTTGGGACCAGTATTTACCTGTGATACCATTGTGAAAATTAGAGGTCAAGGTGGGGCCAGGGTCAGGGGTCAGGGTGGGGCCAGAGTCAGAGCTCAGCCCGAGGCCAGATTGGGGTCCATCTGAGGGCAAGGTGAAAGGTGGTTTTGAAGCTAGGGTCAAGGTCATGGTTAGGGTCAGTCTGCCTCTGATGGTCAGGCTGGTCGGAGTTTGGGTGCAGTCCACTCTGAGGAGCAGTTTTCTCCTTGAATTGCACTAGCCTGCCAGCTTGTCCTTAATGATCCCTTCTGAGCCCCATTCACAGCTCCAGCACCTAACACATCCAAAGGGTGGGCAGGAAGCCCTGCGGCCCCTGCCTTTGCCCCTGGGTCTGCCTGCTGCTCATTCCTGAGAATCCCACCACGTGGTCCCCATGTGTCTGAGGTGCCCACAGGCCTGCGTTGCCCACCCGGAGCAGCTCAGACTCCCCCGAGGTGTTTACAGGCCCAGCCGGCCCCTCGCCTCTTGCTGGTTTCAGAGCTATTTGATGTCAGACGGTGCTGAGGTTATAAAAGAGGAACGACGGCTGTGACCCCTCATCCCCAATCGCCCTCCTTCTCCTGCTTTTCTGACTCTCCCAGGTCATGGCTGAGCCAGCTCCTCTCCGTTAGGCCCTTCCCCTGCCCCCATTCTCTTTTCCTATAGAATGCGCATCTGTTTTAGAGGTGGTCTCATTTCCTTCTGCTGGTCTGTGAGCAGCTTTAGCTCAGGTACCAGGGCTCCTGGTCATAAATTCATAAGAAAGGAAAGCCAGAAAGCTGGAGATGGTGAGGTCCGACATCTGCCTGTTTTTGCAGACGAGGCCGTTGAGGCCAAGGGTGGTTAACGACCTGCCCAAAGTCACCGGCCAGTTAGGAGCAGAACCAGATTCCCAGCCTGGTGGTCCTTCTGCAATGCTGTGCATTTCCTTAGTGGCATCTAGTAAAGTGGGCAGGGCAGGTTTGATGGGTGAACACGTGTGTACGTGTGTACATGAGAATCTGCGTTGGTGAACATGGGCACACCTGAGTGCACATAGCTCAGTGTGTACATGTGCATGTAGACACATGTGGCCTCTCTGGCCCCTAGTCCAAGTCTCTGTCATGGGGGCTCCAAGTTCATGTTGCTGGCTGGTTGGTCAGGCTTGTCAGGGTCAGAACCAGCCCTGTGTCCTCACCCCATACACAGTGCCAGTCCTTGACCTGCCCTCTGGCAGGTAGGAGCTATACCTGGGAAGCACAAGAAGCAGGGGGAGGGATGTTCATGTCCAGCTTGCACCTTTCTTAAATGAGCATGTGGTCTCAGTGGCCATGCTGACCAGCTGTGTGACTGCTCTGTGCTCTGTTTCTGTCATCTTTAAAATGGGGATAATAACAGCACTTACCTTCTGGGGTTATTATGAGAGTTGGACCTTTTAATATCTATGAAGAACATTTCCTGCTTTATAAGGGTTTCTTGTTGTTACTATTATTTTCGCTACTGCTACTAATGGAACCAATTGTATGAACCAGAGAATAGTGCTAAGAGCACATAGATGCCTGATCTGGGAGTGGAGGTTGCTGAGGCTCAGAGTTGGGAGCAGTTAGGGACGGCTTCCTGGGAGGGCAGAGGGATTCGTATTGGTGGGAAAGAGGAAGAAGAGCTTTCAGAAAAGGCTTGTAGAAATGATGGCAATGGGGAATCGGCCCGTGGAAAGTGAGGTTTCCCCTACAGAGAGTGGGACATGAGGACCAGAAGAAGTGAGTCTGGACTAGGGGTGAGGCTGTGGGGGTGAGGGACTTCCTGAGGCCCCCAGGCCGCCCTACCATCTCTTGCTCACTCAGCCCTGGCAACTTTTTTGTCTTCTCTCTGGGGCAGAGGCTGGGAGGGTCCTGAATCCACACCTGGGCCCAGTGGAAGAGCGCCTGGCCTTGCACGTCCTCCAGCAGCAGGGCTTGGTGCCCGAGCATGTGGAGTCCCGGCCCCTCTATAGCCCCCTGCAGCCGGACATTGAGCAGGTAGGACCTTGACCCTCGGGCCCCAGAGCCCCCGACCCCCAGCTAGCCCTGCTCCAAGGACACCATGGATACCCTAGAAGCACCAGTGGGGGATCTCAGGATTTGGCCAAGCCCTCCTTGATAGTATTTCTCCAAAGTCTGAGTGGTTACTGCTGTTGGCCTATAAGGGGACCTTTTGGGCCTGGTCTCCCCTGGCTACCTGCAGCCCTCAGGGCCTGGGGAATGAGCCTGACCCGCCTTCTCCATCCCTGTGTAGCCTGGACCTCTGGCCTCCCCTCAGTCATTCTGAAGCCTTCTGTTTGAGCCTGGCCTCAGGGTGCCGTCCCCTACCATTGGTCAGTGACATCCCAGATGGCCAGCCCTGTGCTGGGCTGCATTGGGGAGTTCACACAGGGTGACCAGCACCTGATGACAGAATGGCAGAGCAGCCGCAGAGATCAGTCATCAAGAGTACTAAGGACATCCTCCCACACAGAGGGAGCGTGAGCAGAGGGACAGCAGGCCCTGGGCTGAGACTGGGGAGGACTCCAGGACAGGGTGAGCTCAGGGCTGGGTTTTAGAGGAAGAGAGAAAAGATTACAGTCAGAGGAGGGCCGAGGCAGCCATGAAGGTGCCTTTGTACACATGCCGAGGACATCTCCTCTGTTGTTTGGGACTGAGCTCTCTTCCCCATGGTGATGTGGCCACCAGTTCCCCAGGGTGGCACGGCAGGTGTTGAAACATCAGCTCTTTCATTCTCTAGCTATGCGACCCTGAAGAAGTTACTTCAGTCCCTTCTGTAAGATGGGGACAGAAATGCACCCAGCTTGTAGAGAGGCAGGGAGCTGAGGGGTGGCAGGTAGAATGGTTTTCTGTCCTGGAAATCCTCTGAGCCCCCTATGACTAAACCATGCTCTTTGACCCTCCACGACTTTGCATATACTGTTCCCTTGGCCAGAAATGCTCTTCTCCCCTTTTCTGTCTGGCATACTGAGACTCAGCTCAAACATCATCTCTGAGAAGCCTGCCCTGACCCTCGACCCCCAGGCGCGGGCCCGAGTCATTGGCCTGTGGTGTAGTGGGCTCGCCTCTGTGGTCAGCCCCGTAGTCCCATTTAAGGCACCTCTCCCCCGGGGCGGTGAGCCTCTCTGTGGCAGGGCCTGGGTTTTCTCTTTCCTGTGCCCCAAGTGTCCGACGCAGAGCAGGTGGCTTGTAGATGTTGGTTGAATGAAAAGGGCAGTGAGTGAACAGGGCCGTGTCTCCTCAGGGGAAGCTGCAGATGTGGATCGACCTGTTTCCAAAGGCCCTGGGGCGGCCTGGACCTCCCTTCAACATCACTCCACGGAGAGCCAGAAGGTGACTTACCCCAGCTACAGACTCAGAGCTGAGTGGGGTGGCGGGATGCTAACAGCCAGCTGTGGGCAGGACTAGGGTGTGGCTCTTGGGCCAGGCTTTGGGCTACTCGGGTCACAGGATACTTCTCTTGCGTGGGCCTGGCCAAGTGTCCAGCCAGGCAAGCATCGGAGTCTTGAGGGAGCCGGCTTCCTGGCTTCTCAGCCAAGGACTACCCTCCCTTTGGTGAGAAATCCATGTGGATTTGAGTCATTCTCCACAGGTTTTTCCTGCGTTGCATTATCTGGAACACCAAGGATGTGATCCTGGACGACCTCAGCATCACAGGAGAGAAGATGAGCGACATTTATGTGAAAGGGTAGGGGTTTCCTCCTTCCCACCTGCCCCAGCTTGGTGGTGTCGTCCCTGCTCCCTCTGGGGTTGTGCAGCGGGAAGGGGAGTTCTAGTGTAGGGCAGGGGAGAACAAGAAAGGAAGGAGGGTCTTATGGGGGTGTCCCCCACCAGATTTCTTCTTCCACATTAATCTTTGGGTTGCACTTACAAGGTTTGAGGATGTCCTTCAAGGGAGAAGTTAGAACATTTTAATATTTATCGCATGTTTGGTACATCATGGAGATTTCTTGGGAATTATTTTTGCTTTATCATTTACCAAGTTCATTTACCTTCTTAATTCCCCATTTGCCTAAGTTGAGGATGCATGTTGTGGTAGAAACCTTAATTAGAAATGTTTTCTAAAATATTTATGTCTAGTTGGATGGTTGGCTTTGAAGAACACAAGCAAAAGACAGATGTGCATTATCGGTCCCTGGGAGGCGAAGGGAACTTTAACTGGAGGTTCATTTTCCCCTTTGACTACCTGCTGGCTGAGCAAGTCTGCACCGTCTCCAAGAAGGTGAGTGTCGTTCCTGTCCCCAAGGGTGCTAGTCCCAGGGCTTTCTATATCAGTGTGATTGCACCACCAGTTACTGCTGTGCCATTATCATACCCTCACTACTGCCCACTGCTGTTGGAATCACCACGGCCATCACTGCCTGATGACTACCACCATTGTCCGATCACTACCAATGTCACCACCACCATCATTGTCCCATCACTACCAATGTCACTACCACCACCATTGTCCCATCACTGTCAATGTCACCACCACCACCATTGTCCCATCACCGCCAACGTTACCACCAACACCATTGTCCCATCAGTGCTGATGTCACTACCACCACCATTGTTCCATTACAGCCAATGTCACCACCACCATTTCCCCTATCACTGCACATGTCACTGCCACCATTTTCCCCATCACTGCCAAAGCCACCAACACCATCTCTGCCACTCTTACTTCTCCTTCCAATTCTACCATCATTAGCATTGCTGCCACCCCACATCCACCCCCATACCAGTGCCACAACCATCATATGTAGTTAAGTCCAAATCTTAAAACTACTGCCTTTCTCCCTGCTCCAGACAAACCAAGCAGCACGAAGGATCATGGGGTCAGAGTGGGAAGAACATTTGTAGGGAAACCCAGCATGGCCATCAAAGGGGCCATGGGGCTGACCCCATAGGAGGGCTTACCAGGAAGGCCAGTGTGGCCTGTCACTTGGGTTGTCCCTATGATTGGGTATTGCTTAGCCATGTCCCTCCTGCTACCTTTTTTCCTATGTTTCTGTGTCTGGTGCCTGTGGTCACTGTCCAAGCTGGGCAGTCACTGGGAATGACTCTGCCCTTCCAGGCCTGAAGCCGCTGCCGTCCTCTCTCCACCTTCCTCCTCTCATGTCAGGCTGAAGGCACTTGGGGAGACTTGCTCAGCATCAGCCAGAGGGGAGGGGTGGATTCAGGGACCTCAGCTCTCTGTGTCTCAGCATCTCCTAGCTTAAGTCTCATCTGGGCCATAGATGCTTCACTCCTGAAATAGGCTGATCCAGAGGCAGGTGGCCTCCTTCCTGGTATCACTACACCTGCCTTTAGGGAGCAGCCCCCGGAGCGCAGTGAAGAGGGTGCTATGGGCAGTGAGGGCCTCGCGGTCAGGCTGACGGGAGACGGGGGGCACCTCTGTTGGAGCTTCTGACCACCTACATCCCACCTAGATGCAATTCCACCTTGAGATGCTCTCCTATTCGATGCAGCAAATGCCTCTCTGGCGTTTAGATTCCTCAAGGCTTCAAGTTGCAAAGCTTCTATGAGTCCTCTTTCTTTCCTGAGTGGTTGATTGGCTCAAAGAAGGGAGATACGTAATGTACTTTGGCTGCCTAGGTCTTCTTAATTCTCCTCATTATATCCTGCTGCAATACCCCTTCCCAACACAACACACAGGATCATCCACCCTGTAGAGAAACCAGAATGTTCCGCCGAACATTCTGAAACATTCACACAAAATATGGATTAAAGAAGGTGAAATGAATTTTTTCACCCAGGGATTGCTGCATAGTGCCTGCCTGAGGGCAGAATTTAGCAACAGGCCTGGGATCTGTGCGCTCAAGGAAATCCTAGCCTATTTGTAGGCTCCATCTTGTTTGCTTTTGCTCAGGGTGTTTGTCTATCGCGAGATGTTTGCATAACAAAACACAGGCTGCTTTCCTAGAGGAGAGCTCCAAATCCAACAGACCTTGCCTCTCTTTGCTGTGGATAGAGGGAGCATGGGGCCAGGAACGGGGAAGGGAGGGCTGGGCATCCTGCATGCCATCTCCAGGCTCACCAAGCCCTACGATGGGGTTAGGCATGGATGAGAAACCGAGGCTGAGATGCAGATTGGCCTGCTCAAATGGGAGGCGGGACAACCCCTTCATTGTGACAGATGGAGATGTGGGCAAAGAGTTGAAGGAAGCAGAGGCTGCTGTTTTTGCTACAGTGTAGGAGGAGAAAGAATCTCCTGGCACTGTGGCAGGTGATTTGACATAAGTGGCTGTTATGCTGAGTGAGGGAGAAGGAGGGAGAAAGGAGAGGGAGAGAGTGCTAATTGGTGGTACAGAGCAGGGTTACCTGGCAGTCCTGAGGGCCAGCTGGGGTTGCTGATTAAGAATTTGAGGTGGCTCCATTCTGACAATGATGGGTTTCATTGTTGCATTGTAGACACTGGCAAGGAAGAAGAGGAGAGTTGGGCTGACCCATGGTGGCAGTTCCAGAGGAGGAGAGGGGCTGACGACATACGGAAGGGAGCGGTTGGCCTTAACGGCCCATGGGCCTGGGCTAGCCTTGGAAGAATGAGAAGCGCATGGGGGCTGCCAGGGTGGAGAGGAGGACGAGGAGTCGGGGAGTCCAGGAGGGGCCCATAGGAGGGGCAGGGAGAGAGGGCAGAGGGAACGGAAGTTCTGTGTGGTGCCAGGCTCCTGGAGAGGGTGGTTGGCAGGAGGGCTGGAGGAGGGGGAGTCCAGGGGCTTCTGATGTCAACCAGGAGAGTGAGGGGAGAACTGGTTCGATCCAGGCGGAGCCGGGGAGTCCCTCTGTGGGAGAAGGGACCCTGGGCGGCAGGTGGAGCTGTGCCCACAGTGGGGTACCAATTAGCCAGTCTGGGTTAAAGGACTGAGTCTGGGGGTGGGTTAGTGGGGGCCACTGCACAGCCTGTGAGCTCCCCGGTTCTGCCGGAGCGCCAGCCCTCTGCCAAGGGGTTCAGGGCCTCTGGCAAGCAGGCCCCCCAGGGACCCCATTAACCAGACGAGACTGTCGTAAAGTACAAGGTCTCCTTTCATCCGGCTGCTTTGAACCACCGCTGGTCGCCCCTGCCGGCTCCCCACCTGGAGCCCAGCACACCCACCGGGGCCTGCCTGCGTGTCAGGCACCCACCCTGCAAATAAACAGCTAGTAAAAGGGCCCAGACCGGGAGTGTAATGAGCGCCTGGGACCTGGGGGGCCATTCCCCAGGCTGGAGCCCCGGCCCAGCTGCTCCCACCAGGGGCCGTTTGAACCTCTGGCTCATTACTGAGCCCATAAACCCGGCTGGCCAGGGGAATGGAGGATGCTGGAGGCCTGGCAGGCGGGCCTGCCGAGATGGCCATAAAAGCCCCGCCAGAGGAGGGAGGCACCTGCAGGAGGGCTGGGGCCCGGAAAAGGGGGAGGCACCAGACGGGCTGGGGGACAAGGGGCCAGCTGGGGACTTGAGCCCCTTCACCAACCCAGGCAGCGGTCTAGGCTGCAGTGGGGTGCTTTGCAAGGTGACCGTTCCTTACAGGGCATGGTCTTTGGTTCAGGAGCTCTGTGGGTCTGTGTGACCTGGGGTGGCAGCAAGGCCGTGTGTGTAGGGCACCCAGGGCCAGAGAAACCCTGTGTGGTCAGCAGTGCTCCTGACTCCCCGTGGAGTCTGTACCCCTGAGACTCAGTCCAGGCTCCCGCTGTGAGCTGTGACCTGGCATTTAGGACCTGGCACCCATTGTCTGCAGGATGGTCAGAATGTTTCCTGTCCTTACCCCCTACTCAAGTAAAGCTACAATCAGAGGACAGAGAACAAGTGTGAGCAGGAAACCCCAGTGACAGGCCTGCTGGTAAACCCAGGCCTCGGCATGCCCTCAGCTGCTCCACAAAGCCTCTCTGAGAAGAAGCCCAGATGATGCTGTTCCAGGCTGACTGGTCTGAGGGAGGTGGGGTGGGCAGAGCGGGAGACTGGTGACCTTTCCAGCACCGGGGGCTTTTGATTTGCTGCAGAGCAAGCTCTTGGAGGTAAAGGAGGGGTGGGTTGGCATGATGAGGGAGGGCCTGGGGTCACTGTCCCCTAGGGTGTCAGCTCCTTGCAGCAGTGTGTCAGGGGGTATCCTTCTCGTGATAGCCATGGTCAGGTGGAGGACCCTCAGGTTCCCAGCCAGCCCAGCCTGTCCCCAAGATCACATGGGCAGAGCAGGGTTTGGAGGTGAGAGCAGGACTCTGGGGCCGACTGCCTGGGCGTGAATCCTGGCTTGCCACTTCCCAGCCATGTGACTCGGACAAGTTCCTTGCTCTTCTTACCTCAGCTGCAAGGACGGTATCTCCCTGATAGGTTGTTGGAAGGATAAATGAGCTCATAGTGGTGAAGGGCTGGCACATGAGAAATGCAATATTAATACTATTATCATTGGCTGTCAGATCTTGGGGCAAATTCTTAGCTTCTCCAAGACTCTGTTTCATTTTCTGTAAAATGGGAGTGAGAACCTTGACTCACAGAATTGGGAGTTTTAAAGGAGCATCTTAAGTAAGCCAGCATGGTACCCTCCTGGGCCCTTGAACACTTCCCTCTGGGGGCTGCCCTTAGTTATCTTCCCACCAGGACCTGGCTCTGGCAAGTCCCCAGGGGATGTACCACTCCACTGCCTCCTCCAGGCAGCCTTCCAGGCTGGAATATATCCCACTGCCTCTCTCTAATGATGCTTCCCTGCTTCCTCCTCTGCTTCTCCTCTGGGCCAGGATGCTTTCTGGAAGCTGGACAAGACCGAGAGCAAAATCCCAGCACGAGTGGTATTCCAGATCTGGGACAATGACAAGTTCTCCTTTGATGATTTCCTGGGTGAGCACTGTTTCCAGCCCATGCCATTCTGCAGGTTGGGGGCTGCCCCTGAACCACTCTTGGGCCCTTTGGGAAGGCTGGCAGGAGGAGTGGTCCTATTTTCTGCCCTCAGGGAGTTCAGGGTCACTGGGTCCCCAGGGCCCAGTGAGGTCTGTGACACAGTAGTGCCAGAGTGATCGGAGTGGCCGGCAGGGTGGGCCTGTCAGCAGAGAGGGCATTGAACGCTGGGCCATGGTGGACGGTAGGACTCAGATCCTTTCGGAAGAGAGGGAAGCATGAGTTGAAGGCAGTCAAGCATGTCACTGGCTGCTGCCAGCTGTCTGACATCACACTTGACAAGGTGCCCCCCCCCCCCGCCCCCTAGTCTAGACGCAGACTGAGCCCCGTGAGTGAGGGCTCAAGTCACTCTTCACCCTGTGCCTGCGTGATGATGACTGAATGAACAAACAGGGCTCCACCCTCAAGCGCCCAGACGGGATTCTGGCGGGAGAGAAGTGCGCGGAAGCCCCAGCTGGGGAGCAGCGAGCGCTGGGCGGAAGGAAGTGTAGGAGCGGGTGCTCTTGCAGGGGTGGGGTGTGGGGCGAGGAGGATGGCGTTGTGCTGGGTCAGCGGGCTGGACTGTGAGTAACAGCCCCGTCACAACCATAAAAGTTACCCGGGAAAACGTGGCCTCTCCATACCATGGGATGTTCTTCAGCCACAGAGAGAAATGAAGTCCTGACACACACTGTGACTGGATGAACCTTGAAAACACGCTAAGTGAAAGAAGCCAGACACAAGAGGACAAATGTTGTATGATGCCATTGATATGAAGTGTCCACTATAGGCAATCCAGAGAGACAGGAAGTAGGCTTGTGCTTGCCGGGCATAAGGAGGAGGGGGAATATGGTGCTTCTTTTGGGGGTGATGACAATGTTCTGGAGTTAGGTAGTGCTGGTGATTGCATAGCCTGTGAATAGACGAAAAGCCACTAGGTCATACACGTTAAAATGGTTAAAATGGTACATTTTACGTTGTGTGAATTTTACCTCAATTAAAAAAGAAATGACCTTGTGAGAAAGGCAGTCTGGGAGGTCAGGAGTCCTGGGTTCTGGTCCCGCTCTGCCTCTTGGGAGCGGGTGGTCTTGAAGGAAGCACCGAGGCCTCCTCTGGTGGCCCTTGCTTGCAGGAAGGTGAGTTGTCTTTGCTGAGCCTGGGCCCTTGCAGGGGACGTCAGAGGAGCAGCTCCACAGGCGTGAGGAGGAGGACTGCCTGTTCGTCCTTCTCCCCAACCCCTGCCCTCCCGGGCCCGGGCCCCTGGGCTTGGGGGACCCGGAGCTGCTCCCGGACTTCACTGTAAAAGACTCAGGGTGCCAAAATCATGGCACCAAATGGGGCTTTCGTTATTTTACTTATTATTCTGGAATACATAATTGCTGTAGAAAAGTTAGAAACTATAGATAAACAACGCCTCCTCTTACTATTTAATGATAATCCCACTACCCAGAGATAACCTCCACTAATATTTTGGCATATATTATTTCATATATAAGCAAACACATATATGTTACATGTGTATTTTATACATGTATATATATATACACACACATACATTTTTAATATATGACACATATAGCAAAATGGGTTTATATTACGCATACTGTTTTATATCCTGATTTGGGAGAAAACAATGTTTCCAGAACATCCTTTCTGTTGGCAGTTATCTATCTGCATTTATATCTGCAGCGTCATGCTTAATTCCTGCCTGATGTGCTGTCATCCAGATGGACCCTGTTTTGCCTGGCCCATCCTCTCTTGGTGGGCACTCAGGTCATCTCCAGGGTTTCCAGTGTGAGTGACACCTTTAGGCACATCTCTGGACCCTTTGTGCATCTCTGGCCTGAACTCTAAGATTTTTAGTTTTTGTACATTTTAGCGGTTTTTGAAACATTTTGTTCAATTGCCCTCTAGAAAGATTTTACATTTTTATACTCCCACCTGTGCCCTGTGCGTCTAAAGGCATCATTTTTCCTGAACTATTGCTACCAGTTATCTCTTAAAAAAATTGCCGATACGATACCTCATTTTTATTGGTATTTTTTCATTAGTTGTAAAGAGTAACTTTAAAAATATATTTATTATCCCTATTATTGGTGGGATTTTCTTTTTCATGGTTTTGGGATGTTCATCTTTTATTATTGATTTTCAGGGTTTTTTTATATAGTAAGGACACGTTACAAATAATTTCTCCCATTTTTTCAATCACTTTTTAATTTTTTTATGGAGTCTTTTTTCTGCTTAGAGACAAAATTTTTTTAGCATCAACCTATCAATCTTTATGGGTGAGGCTTTAGAAAATTAATTTTAAAAAGGAAAACAAAGAAAACTGCATTTTTTTAAAAAAAGATTTTATTTTTCCTTTTTCTCCCAAAGCCCCCCCAGTACATAGTTGTGTATTTTTAGTTGTGGGTCCTTCTAGTTGTGGCATGTGGGATGCCACCTCAGTGTGGCCTGATGAGCAGTGCCACGTCTGTGCCCAGGATCTGAACTGGTGAAACCCTGGGCTGCCACAGCGGAGTGTGTGAACTTAACCACTCGGCCACAGGGCCAGCCCTGAAAACTGCATTTTTACTGAATGAGGAAACAGTATTCAAAATAAAATTAAATAGGCTCATCTTTTGTTTTTAAAAATTAAAAAAACTATTACAACTAGTTTTTAACTCCACAAGATTTCTTTTTTCCTCCTTCAAAATGTGTCTTCTAATTGCATATTTCACTTCTTTTGAATATTTATTACTTTTATTTTAAAAGTAATAGCTAAAATCTATAATCTTGCCATCCGGAGATAATCTTATGTTTTCTTACAGTCTTTTATATAGATCATGCTGCAATAATGCTGTGTGCGCGTATATATATAAATATATATATATACTTTGTACTTATACAAATTTTGTATATATATACATATTACAGTCTTTTATGTAGATCATGTAGGATAATTTTAAGTATATATAGTAATTATAGAAATTTTGTGTATATATATATATGGTTTAATATCCTGATTTTTCTTAATGTTATGTGGGGACCATATTTACATGGGAAGTAAACATTCATCTACATTTGAGGGATGGAGAGATGTGTGGATGGGCAAATAGATGAAAGCTGATAGAGTTGAGCAAACAGATAGATGGGATAATAACTTGATTAATGGATAGAATGCCCAACAAATGGGAGCTATAGTGGGATGGAGATAGTTAGAGCAAAGCATGTAGATGGATGGAAGGATAGATGGATGAGTGGAAGGAAAGAAAACTAGAAGACTAGATCCAATCAGTGGATACTTGCAGTAACCGAGCATTCCACACTGAAAAAATCTAATCTCCTTTGCATGGTGTTCAATAATTTCTTAAATTTGGCCTCAGAAAACATTTTTTAGATTTATCTCTCTCACTTGATCCCTTCAGCAACTGATGCTCCAATGCCATTGACTTCATCATGTTGTGATCGGATTAGGATGGAACCACATGAAATTGCTGTTTTTATAGGTCAAAGTTAGTTGAATACCAGCGTTTTCGTATGGTTCAATCTAATAGCTGGAGCTATACAGGAGATGATGGATAAAATGGATGAGCAGATAAACAGTAGAGAAAGATGGATCCTTGGATAACTAGGTGGGCAGATGAAAAAATTGGTGGATGAACCACAGGGAGACACCACTTCACACCTATTAGGATGGCCATAAAAAAACAAAAACAAACAAATGGAAAATAACAAGTGATGGGGAGAATGTGGAGAAATTGGAACCCTCATACGTTGCTGGTATGAATGTAAAATGGTGCAGCTGCTGTGGAAAACAGTTTGGCAGGTCCTCAAAATCTAAACATAGAAATTACTGTATGACCCAGCAATTCTACTCCTATTTATATACCCCAAAGGATTGAAAACTGGGACTAAGATACTTGCACACCAGTGTTCACTGCAGCATTAGTCACAGTAGTCAAAAGGTAGAAACAACTCAAGTATCCATCAACAGGTGATATATCCATACCATGGAATATTATTCAGCCATAAAAAGGAATGAAGTACTGATACATACTACATGATGGATGAACCTGGAAAACTAAGCAAAATAAGCCAGACCCAGCAGGACAAATATTTTATGATTCCTCTTATATGAAATATCTAGAGTAGGCGAATTCATAGAGACAGAAAGTAGGTTAGAGGTTACCTGGGACTGAGAGGAGAAGAGATGGGGAGTTATGGCTTAATGGGCACAGAGTTTCTGTTTGGGGGGATGAAAAAGTTTTGGAAATAAGTAGTGGTAGTAGTCACACAGCACTGTGAATATAATTAATGCCAGGAATTATACGTTTAAAAATGGTTAAAATGACAAATTTTATGTTATATATATTTTACCCAAATAAAAATTTTAAAAAATGGATGGATGGATAGATGGATGGATGGATGTAGACGATGGGTGAATGAATGGAGTTGCACACAGTGAGATGAATAGTTGAGCACGTGGGAAGCTCTGTTAAGGGTGAATCAATAGGGTAGATTAATGGGCATGTGGATGCCTGAGTAGATAGTTGGGATGCTGTCTAGATGGAACAAGAGGCAGTGGATGGGGAGATGGAGTTTGTGGAATATGACCCTGGCTAAGCCATGGAGAGAAGCTGAGGAGGTGACAATGAGTTTTTCTTGAGCCTGCCCTGCCCCAGGGTAGCCCTAGGCCAAAGAACCCCTCTCTGCTGCAGGCTCCTTGCAGCTGGATCTCAACCGCATGCCCAAGCCTGCCAAGACAGCCGAGAAGTGCTCCCTGGACCAGCTGGATGACACTTTCCACCCAGAGTGGTTTGTGTCCCTTTTTGAACAGAAAACTGTGAAGGGCTGGTGGCCCTGTGTGGCGGAAGAGGGTGAGAAGAAGAAGCTGGCGGTAAGTCGGCTCCCTGCAGCCCAGCAGAGGTGCGGGAGGGGCTGCCTCCGTAGATGTCACTGGGCACTTACATGTTGCTCTCCTCTCCCGCCTGCCTCTCTCCGTTTTCCAAGGCACTGTCCCTCTTCCCTTCCAGTGCCAGCCGTCCTCTCCCTGAGGCTCGCAGCCCAGGGAAGTCTATTTCCAGTGAATAAAGCTCTTATCTCCCGCGGACCCTGCTCCTTGGCCCTCACAGGGATCTGCATCCTGGATTCCCCCTGGCTGGGCTTCCTGCGGAGGACAGGGGTAGCACCTTTCCCATTTGACCAGGACCCCACAAGGACCGTCCTTGTGTTACTCTCCTTACCCAGAGGCCTGCTCAGGGGTGTGACAGACCATGGAGGACCATCCTTCCTCTGGAAAGGAAGTGAATCCCTGACAGTTTACTTAGACACAGCAGGCAGCCAGCCAACCCCCAAAGTGGCCCTTGAAATAAAATATCCTTGTCGTATTAGGAATCATAGCACTTATTAAGAAATAATAGCACCTCAAAAGAAAAATGAGTGAAGGGCACACGTAGGTAAGACAGAAAAGAAGTACGAATGGCCATTAAACATTAAAAAAGGCTTATTCCCCCTACTAATTAAATAAAGGAATATTTTTAAATGTAAAAACATTTTTTTGCTGATTAAATTAGAATCTTTTTGAAAAAAATGGGAATACTCATTGCTGGTGAAGATGCAGAGAGTCTGGCCCCTGCGTTTACTTCCGCTGGGAGTGCTTATGGTTTTACCATTTGGGGAAGCAATTTGGGAATATAGAGGCAGAGATTTAACAATATTTATGCCCTGGGGACACTGTCATCTCACTTCTAAAATCTCTCCGGAAGAAATAACAAGATGCAATAAAAAATGTAGGTTCCGGGGTGTTTGTTGCAGTATTATTTATAACATCAAAGAGGTGGAAACAACCTAAATGAACCAAAATAAGTAGTTTACTAAGTAAATTATGGTCAACCATCCCATAGAATGTTTCAGCCATTAAAAAGCAAACTTTGAAAAATATATAATTATATAGTGAATTATGATATATTTCTAAGTGAAAGAGGCAAGCTATGGAACTCTATATACACAGTGAGATAGTTCATAAACTTGCAGGGGAAGACAGCTCTGATGCATAAAAATATTAACAGTGCTTGTCTCCACATAGTGGAAATGTGGGTGATATTCTCGTTTCTTTGTACATTTCCATAGTTTCCAAATATTCTACAAGGAGCACATACTGCCTTTATGATCAGATCAACCCTATATCTTTTCTTAAGAAGATAACAAAGTGGCTCTTAGGTCTGTCCTGGCCTAGCTGCTCTCCAAGCCATGGGACAGAACCTTTGTGCCCCTGATCAGGTCTCCTCTGTCCCCTCAGGGCAAGCTGGAGATGACCTTGGAGATTGTGGCGGAGAGTGAGCATGAGGAGCGGCCCGCTGGCCAGGGCCGGGATGAGCCCAACATGAACCCCAAGCTCGAGGACCCAAGGTTAGTACCCAGCCCCTGACCCCGGATGCCCAGAGGGGCTGAGAGGTGGAGCTGCAGTCCGGGAGGCACCCACTGCATAGCCATGCAGAGGTCACAAGACCCACATGGCCCAGAGATGGACATGACTGGTCCAAAGCCACACAGTAAGTTAGGGGCAGGTGACAGGCATCATTCCAGGGAACCCTGGACTCCTCAGCCAATTCAGAAGCTGGCACTGTTGGGCAGCTGTTTGCTGTGTGCTGAGCGTGCTGTCATATGGCGTGTATATGTTGTGATGTGGACTCTTCTGGGCTGGGTTGTTATTATCCCCATTTTACAGATGAGGAAACCATCTCAGCAAAGTGAGATAAGGTCATTCCACTAAGAAAGTGATGAAGCTAAAGTTCTCACACCTGGTGTGATTGGTCAAGAGCCCAGTCAAGGCCTCTCTCTTGACCAAGCTGCCTTCCATGACCCTCCCGTGGTGTTAATGTGGCTTTCAAATGGTCTTTCAACCTTAATTTTCCCATCTGTGAAGTGGGAAGACCAGTCCCTGTGTTCTCTCCCTTGCAGGCTCATAAGGGATATAGACCAATCTAGTCTATTTAGAAGCCTTGGAGGCAGTTACTGGGGGCTGAAAGATGACTGGAGCATGGGGGTCAAGGCTGCGTTTGCTGGGCCCCTCCCATGACCTGCTTGGCTCAAGGTGAACTTAGCCCAGATGGCCCACTTTATCATAGTGCTGTGCCATGTGCCATGGGGGTGGCAGAGCAGTGAGAGGCAGCCCTGCCCAAGGATGTTGGGATCTGTGTGGAAAGACAAGAGAGATCCAGGAGACCCAGCAGCATGCAATCTGATGTTAAAACAGGCATTATTGAGACACAGAATTCTGCACGCTCTTTGAGTCGTGGGGCTGACCTAGGGAAGGTTTTGAGGTTCTTGGTTGGGAGGGAGAGAAAATCAGCTTTCTGGGTTCACTTCCTACCATCCTTCTCCAACCGCGGACCAGCCATGTGCATCTAGGCAGGTGGCTTGGCTTCTCTGGGGCTCCATGGGCCCTAGCTCTCCTAAAGTGTCAGCCCCTTGAGCCTGTGACTAAGTCCTGGGTCAGGAAGGAGAGAGGGCGACAGGGAAGGTGTCCTGGACAGGGTGGCTGGGAACTGGGCTCCTGAAGGTGTGTGGGGCTCTGTGGCATTAAGAAGAGGAGGGCAGCATGAGTGGGGTTCACACTAGCACAGGTGGGAGGAGAAGGGAATATGAGTACAAAAGGCTCAGTTTTGGGGCAGGGGCTAGGGGCCTTGGGGATGGGCAGGTCCTGGGGGACAACTGTGGAGGGCCAGGGCAATGTGGGAGCAGGGTTTGGAGAAAGCAGCCCTGGTAGGGGGTGCCCTGCTGACCTCTAGGATCTCATTTCCAGGCGCCCTGACACCTCCTTCCTCTGGTTCACCTCCCCGTACAAGACTATGAAGTTCATCCTGTGGCGGCGTTTCCGGTGTGCCATCATCCTCTTCATCATCCTCTTCATCCTACTGCTGTTCTTGGGCATCTTCGTTTACGCCTTCCCGGTGAGCAGACCTGAGGGGGGAGGCACAGACCCTGTGTTGGAGGGGCTCCTGGTCTGATGTGGAGGGTACAGCTCTCGACCTCCAGTAGGCCCTGGTCTCATGGGGAGTCTGTCCTTGTCCTCAAAGAGCTCCCCCAGTCTGATGGAGAGAAGCAGCCTCTGTCCTTGGGGAACCCTTAGTCAAAGGGGGGAAACTCTCCCTCAGTGGGGAGACATAGCTGTCCTCAGCAAGCCCCTGGAATGTGCAATCAAGGGGTTGGCAGAAGGTGAGGCCCCTTGAGCAGGGGTGGGCAGGAGAACCTTCTTGAAGGAGAGTGTGGAACTGGGTCTGGAAGGGAAGGGAAGGTGTGGATGGCAGAGCAGAGGAGAAGGCCCCTCTGTGTGTGAGGATGGCACCTGCTGAGGTCCAGAGGAAGGGGGCACCTGGGGCTGGGAGAGGGTCTCAGTGTCCACGTGAGGACCTTGACAGAGTGTCCGGTCTCCTGCAGTGGGGTGGGTGTGGGGCAGTGTGGGAGAGCAGAGGGTGGGCCGGGAGCCTCTCACTTGGCACAGTGAACATGGGGGTCCCTTTCACCTGGTGAGAAGCCGGCTGATGCCTGATAAAGAGCTGCCAGGGCCACACCAGTGAGGCTGCTGAGTCCCCAGCTCCAAGGGGCCCCTCCCAAGGAGGGAGGATCTGGGGCTCTCCCCGGTTCTCACAGCTCATCAGGGAATCCTCAAGATGCTCCAGCCCCTCAGCAGCTCTAGAACTTCAGCCCTTGAAGGGATTGCAGTGTTCCCAGGCTGATACCCGATTTTTAATGTTAAGTTTCTTTTAACTTTTTAATATAAAATTTTCAAACTGATATAAAAGTAGAGAGAATGGTGTAATCTCAACTCCATATCACCTTGATTTTAATGGCAAAGAAACACACCCAGAATGGGGAAGGGACTGGCTCAGGGCTGCATGGCAATCTGTGCACAGCTCCCAGTCTGGGCTTCTGGCCACCCTGGGCCTCAGTCCTGGTCAGCACCAGGCCACTGGCCAAGTGCACTGTCCCCACAGCGGGAAGTCCACGCTGAGAATTACTCACTTGTGAGCTCTTTGCTTTGTGAATCCTCTACGCAGAGGAGGGGGATGGAGGGCTCTCTTCCACCGCGGCCCGCAAGGCCTTGTATGTGAGTACAGCGTGCCTCCTACGAGGAAGACAGTTAAAACCACAAAGCTGCCCCTTCAGTCCCTAACATCACGAATTGTGGGGAACAGTAGAGGGGACGGTCTGGTTTGGACATCCAGGCCCAGCTACCCTCTGGGCCATAAGCGATGAAGGACAGTCTAGAGCCAGAGTGCCCGTGCGTCCTGCTGCAGGCCAGGCCCCCTAAGCTGGCTGCCGTGGCCTGGAGCGAGCGCCATGCTGAAACGTGATCTGAGGCTCAGCAAGAGTCTTGGCCAATCGGCCAAACATGGCTGTGGTCTGGGGTGGGGGTCCAGATTGTGGGGACCTGAAGCTTCTACGATTTGGGGGGCTCTCCTGAAGCAAAGGAAGACGAAATTATCAATACAAGATTAGACACTGGGCCATGAAAGGGCACGAGCAGGTGTGGTACCCTGGGATCTGGGTGGGGCCCAGGACTCCGCCCTGGTATTTCCTCCCCTGGGCAGGCCCGGGCTGCTGAGTGGGGAGGTGAGGTTCTCCTTGCCTGGCCCGCCCTCCACTTGCCTCCTCTCATTTTGAGAGTATCTGGCTGCCATTCAGTTCAAGTAAGGACTTTATGAAGCACGTGGTGTGTCCGGGAGGCAAGGGGCGTCACGGGGATGAGGCAGAAGGTGATGAGCCTTGTGTCACTGGGGAGCTTGGTCCCCTAGGAGATGCAGTGAAGCCAGTGAATGAGGGAGAACAGCGGGTGCAATCCAGTGTCCCATCTTGAGGCTCAGGCCAGGGGAGTGCAGGCCAAGGAGAGCTAGTGCAGACCCTTACTCCTCAAGGGAGTGGTCTGAGGAGCAGCAGCAGTGGGGAGCTGGTTAGAAATGCGGAGTCCTGGGCCGGCCCCGGGTCTGCTGAGGAGAACCTGCCTGGGACACATGAAGGTTGGAGAATTGCCATTGTACAGGACGGAGCTCTGTACGTGGAGTCAGGAGATGGTGGCTAGATTCTGGCTCTGCCCTTGACTTCCTGTGTGACCTTGGCAAGGCCCTCTTGTCTGCATGAGGGGGCTGGGCTAGGTCAGCTCTGACCTGCTGTGACTAGGGCTGTGGTTGAGGAGCTGTTTTGCCTTCCCTGAGGGTGCTGCACACCAAGCCTGAAGAGCCGAGAGGATGGCAGGGGCAGGCCCCGAGTGACGTTACCAGCGCCCTTTCTATGCTTAGCCTTTGCCCCGGCCAGCTGGGCCTTGCCCTGTGAGGCAAGCCAGGCCTTCAGGGGCATGGGGAAGGAGGCCCCACTGCCTGGCTGGGAGAGAGAGGGAAGATTTCCAGCACTTCCAGCCCATGGTCCTTGCATGTCCCTGGCCCTGTGGGCAGGAACCCCAGCAGCCCTAGTCAGAGCCTGTCTCCTGGGTCCCCAACAGCAGCATCAGTGTTTTTTGAGATCTTCTGGAAACTGTCTTCTTTAAAATACCAACCCTGCCTTCCCTCTCCCAGAGCTGGCATGTGGGGGTCAGATCCTAGGTGAGGGGTCCAGGGCTAAAGGGGCAGCCTGGGCCCGAGTGGCAGACTGTTTGTGTTTGCAGGCCTTTGCTACAGCCTGGGCAAACCCTGCTTCTCTCCAGCCAAGTTGCCCAGTTACCTGGTGTGTCCCGGATCCTTACCTGGCTTTTAGGCCTTGGGGGCAGAGGGCCCGGTGAAGAGGGGCCCAAGGCCACGGCTGCACCCCCCGCCGTTGGCCTACTCTCCCACCCTCTTGGAAATTCCCCTGGGAGGGGGGACAGGAGGGCAGCCTGTCTGATTCCCCAGCTCCTCCAGAGCCAGCCGGGAGCAGGGCCAGCGTGGGGAGGCAGGAGGCGATCTGGCGGGGAAGGAGCGGCGGCTTTGTTTCCAGAGTTGGCTTTCCCGGGCCGGCGCTGGGGAACATACTGTCCCAATTAGGAGCCCTGTGTTGTGTTGTATGTGTTTTCATGGTTTTTGGGGGGAGGAGTGGAGAGGGGAGATTCCTGTCAGTCCTGTAGCAGCCAGCGCTTAATCAGGGGTGACCCATCTCTGGTTCTGGCTCTTGTCGTGGGTCATCCCCGTACACCCTGCTCCCTGACTCTCTCTTTCTCCTTTCTGGATGGGAGCATGGTGGCCAGTGAGCCCTGGGTTCGCGTGTCAAGGTGTGGGGGGCGCGGGGGAGAATCAGGGCCATGCCTTCAGGTCACCTGTCTGATAGAGGAGGCCAGGGCAGGCCTGCCCCAGGCCAGGCCCTGGGCGACCTGAGTCCTCTTGGCAGCTGGTTGGGACATGGGAGTGAGCCCTGGATGGATGGGGACGAGGACAGAGCGATTCAGGCAGCCGTGGCCCCCAGATGGGAGTTTTCGGAGCGTATGGGCTTGTCTGATGGTGAGGGCATGGGGAGGGCGGAGCGTTGAGTGGCATGGGGCGCTGAGCGCAGGGTGCAGGCAGGCAGTTGAGTAGATGAGCCTCCTTTCTCAGCTCCCCCAGCCCTCCCAGCAGCTGTTACCACGCATCCCTGCCTTCTCCCTCCCTCCAGAACTATGCTGCCATGAAGCTGGTGAAGCCCTTCAGCTGAGGACTCTGGTCCAGGACTGGCTGCCTCCTCTGCCCAGCTCAGCTGAGCTCCTCCAGACCTCTAGGCCTGACCGTCCTGCCAGGGTGGGCAGACAGACAGAGAGACTGGCACAGGCTCCAAGAGTTGGTAACATCGAGCCCTGGGATCACTCTGCTTCCATCATTTCTTTCTCTTCCAACCCAACCCTTTTTGGATCAGCGCATATGTATTTCCGTATAAAACAGTTTGAACCACAAAGCAGTGTGGGTGTGTGTATCTCAATAGCACCTGAATGGGTGTGAGGGGCAGGGCATGTGTGTGGGGGTGGGGTATGAGGGGGGTGTATGCATCTCTGGCTCAGTGTTCCGAGTGGGTGCCGGGCCCCAGGGAACCGTGACCCTTTGATAAGACTGGTTGGGGTGTGGGGTGGGCTCTGAGGCTTGGTGCTGGCCGGCCTAACCTCCCTGCCTCCTCAGGACTTCCCTCCTTCCCCTGTGCCTCCTCTTTTTTCCCAGGCTCAGGGGGACAGGTCCTTCTGCCTTCGGGTTTCTTTGACGTCACCTGGGACGATGTTCTGCTTTATACAAATGGAGCCCCAAGGAAAGGATTGGGCCAGAAACTCTCCAGGCAGGGAGGGCTACTGGACACCTGGCTGTGGCCTTGTCCCCCATGCTCCTGGCATTTCTTGGAGTTCCCTCCCTCTTCTTCCTCACCCTGCTTCAAAGGTCTGGTCTGGACAAACCCCTTTGTCTTGTGGTCTGAAGCTTAGCGTTAGCCGTGGGTTTGACATCTCCTGTAGGAATCGGGCTTCATCTACGGGAGCAGCAAGAACATACTTAGAGAAAAAGCAAAAAGCATGAAAACATCGTGATTCCAAAAAGAGGCCTCTGCCTCTCTTGCCCCAGGGGTTGGAGCTCTGGAGCACGGTGCTGGCTGCCTCCTCTCCTGTTACCCAGGAGGGCTTCTCCTGTTTCCTGCTGCGAGCCTGCTCCCTGGCCCAGGCCCCAAGGCCCCAGAGCAATCCTTCCAGGCCCCTTGGCTCTTCACTGCGCTCTGGGACCAAGACTGAGGCCCTGCCTCATCCCCAGCTGATTGGCAGGACTCGGGGTGACTGGCATGGGGCTGGTGGCCTGAACCCTCCTGGGCTGGGGAGCTACACCTTGAACACTGAGTAATTCTCTCTTTCGGAGAGGTTCAGGCTGGAGGTGGCCCTCAATGTCTAGCTCTGCTTGGGCCCTGAGAGGTTGGGGGGCCAGTCCTGAGATCCTGATACCTGAACCCTGGAGCCAAGTGGCCACACCTCACACAAAACACACAGCAGGGCCCAGGGCCAAAATTTTTTCTGAGAAGGCAGTCTGGTGAGGACTCACTGTGCGTGCCTGTGTGGGGACAGTGAGAGTCAGCTGTCCCATAGAGGAGACTGGAGGCGAAAGGAAGGAAGAGACGGGGCTGCAGCTTCACGAGGTGCAGAGAGAGCTTAGAGACCAGGGGGCACCTGAGACGATTTGAAAGTAGAGAGCAGGAAGTGACTGGCTAGGAAAAGATCAGAGACACAAGAGAGAATATGGGATAATTAACAGAACCAGTTTCTGGAGAAGGATGGGAGGGTGTTAGCTTTGGAAAGAAAGTTCTCTTTTCCTTCCAGGTATGGGAAGGCAGGAGAAAATAAACACATACCATGCAACTATCACCTGGGTTAAACCAGTTGTGGGGGACATTGTTCCTGCTCATTAATTTTATCTGCTTCATTTGCTTCTTCTTGCTGCTCTGAGTTGCAGATAATAGAAAACATTGCTCAAACGAGTAAAAGAAATTTAGTGGGTTTGCAGAATTGAAACATTCAGAAGGACGGGCTTCAGGCAAGGGCTGACCCAGCTCCTCAACTAGGTCACCAAGAGCTTGTATTCTCTCTTTGCTCTGCCCTTGGTGGTGTTGGCTTCAGTCTAAAGCTGGCTGCGTTCCTAGAGCTGGAGTTGAAGCTGCTCCCTGGGACCATGTAGGCCACCAAGCAAAACTCAGGGGGGATGGGGAGTGGATGGCAAGAGGACACCATGTCCAATGAATGTTTGCTGAGATACTCCCCATGGCAGCCCTGAAGCAGGTTCCGAGGATACAGCAGTGAGTTACATATGACTCCTGACCTTCCATAGCTCTTGGCATGGGGAGAGAGAAAATATCCCCCATGGTTATTTGTGCCCTTATGGGAGTAGCAGAGAAGGGGCACCCACTGCCCTAGGGCAGAGACAGCAGGAGACCCTTGAGAAGGGCTATCCTCTGAGCAGAGTGTTGGGCGGGCCTGGTGTCTGAGGGGTAGGGTGTGCTGAGCCGCAGAGATAGAGGCCAAGTCTTGAGCTGTCAGAGAGCCAGGCTAGTTCAGGGCGTGGTCGAGGGAGAGGAGCCTGCAGGGAAGCGTGACGGAAAGAGGGCCTGGAAGGGTGAGGCCAGGGGTTGGAGGACTTTGTGTGTGAGCTGAGGAGTTAGAACTTCATCCTGGAGGCAAGGAAGAGCACAGAAGGACTTAAAGCTGGACTGACCTTGATCAGAATCATGGGTTTTGAAAAACCATTTTAGCTTAGTCCTTATCTTGGGAGACAAGAGTCCTCTGAGGGCATGTGGGTGGGCTTTGGGTTATAAAAGCCTTATGACCTTTGGGGGGAAGGGTCCAGTGACCTCCCCCAATTCTCAACAAGGTCTGTGATCACAAATGGTGAAGAACGGTTGCTCAGGATGCTGTGTGGCCAGCTGCAGAGGGCCATTCCAGAAGGCTGGTTTATTAACCCAGGAGCCAACTGGGGAAGATCTGAAAGGCAGAGCAGGAGTGATTCATTCATTCATTCGTGCCTTTTATTCATTCACTAAAGAAATATATATATATATGGCCATCTGTGTACTAGGCAGGGTGCTAGGGTCTAGAGATACAAGGTTGACCAAGTTTAACATGGTTCCTGCCCTCCCAGAGTTCACAATTTAGTAGGAAAGAGACACAAGTAGATAGGGAATTATAATACACTGATGTGTAAGCAGGGGTTACAGGGGTGGAAAAGATGATAGGAGGAACAGAGTGTGCAAAGACTGATTATAACCAGAAACTGGTTCAAAGATCTTTAAGAATTTCCACATGGGCACAGAACAGTGGTTCTCAACCAGGGGCAATTTTGCCCCCCAGGGCACATTTGGAAATATCTGGAGACATTTTTGATTGTCTTGATGGGGGGGTGCTACTGGCATCCAGGAGCTGCTAGACATCCTTTGATGCATAAAATAGCACCCCACACCCCCCAGCCTGACAACAAATTATCCAGTCCAACATGCTGATAGTGCTGCTGTTGAGAGACCCTGGCATAGCGGTAGAGGGTTCCAGGCGTGCTGAGCAACTCTACTTGATAGATTGACTGGCCAGGGCTGCGGAGGCAGGGGAGTGTGGGGTGGGAGATCAGTTCCGAGTGACTCCCAATTGTCTGGCTTTATGAGCGGTCAGATGCAGGCACCATTTGTGAAGTCAGTTTTGGACAGGAAAGTTCAGACATGGTTAGGGTGCAGTCAAAATGCCCTTCCTGCTCTCCGTGTCTCCCCACAGTTATGGTCTCTCTCCTCCCTTCACAAAGTTCTGGAAAGCATCATCTACACTTGCTCTCTCCACGTCCTTACCTCACACTCCTCCACCCATTATAGTCTGACTTTACCCCTGTGCCCAACTCTATGGGTCTCCTTGCTAAAAGAAGCCTGATACTGTTCAGCTTTCGGTATGGTCATGAGCTGAGAAAGGAGCTCCAGCCCAGCCGCAGGGGGAGGTGTCTTATTAGATCAAACCAATCACAGTTAAAGCCATTATCCTTGCCAGTGATTGGTTTAGGAAGAAGCATGCGACTCATTTATGACCAATGAGATGTCATAAATTGGTCAGGTGGGGAAGGTGATAGTAGTTATGGGGGGAGGAGGGTAGCTAGGAAAGTTTACAGGAAGCTTTTATCCCCAATAACATAGGACACACAAGGAGGCATAGCTTCATCTTCTGCCTTTTACTCTTGTGGAAAATGTAATGACTGGAGCCATAGCTGCCATTTTGTGATCATGAGGGGACAAGCCTGAAGAAGAAAGCTAACACACAGAGGAAGGCAAACACCTGGTTCTCCAAGAAACTATTGAGAAAGACCCAACTCTGGAACTGCCCTGCCTCCAGATGTCTTGTTACCTGGGATCATAAATTCCTTATTGTTTAAGCCATCTTTGGTTGGGCAGTATGCTGCCCACAGCTCAAAGCACCCTCGCTGGTAAATTTCCTTCGGCTCTCCTGAAGACAGTTTTTACTGCAGTCACCAATAACTAGGGCGGCTGTGAACAGGCACCACATCTGAGACATCAGACATTTATTATTTATTATAACAATTTTCCCACAGATGGCAGTAAAGCGTTTTGTTCTAATAAAATCAGTGTGTAACAGGAGTTTTCTGGTAGAAGCAAAGTACCTTGAGGAAGGGGCACCTTTTCCTAATTCACACCAGGGCCACATGGAGGCCTGGTTGTTAAATCTGTGGCCACTTACCCCTCCTGACACTTCGCAGCAGCTGGCAGCTCTGAACATTCACTTTCTTGATGCACTTTCAGTCTTTGGCTTCCACGATACCCCACTCGCTTGATTTCCCTCCTCCTTCCCCAGCCTTGCCTTCTCGGTGTCCTTCTCTGCAGGCCTACACTCTTCCCCAGGGGTCTTGCCCTGGCCTTCTGTTCTCAGGCTGCACACCCCCTCGGCAGCCTCACCTGCTCCTCTGGCTTCACTTGCCCTCCAGAGGCTGCTGACTCCGAATCCTTACCTCCAGCCGCATTATCTGCTCTGTGCTGCAGCCATGTTGTCCAGCTGCTAACCCAGTGGGCATCTCCCCCAGGGTGACCCACAGGCATCACAAACTCAAACCTCTTACTCAGCATCTCCATCCTCCACCCCATCGCCCTGTCGTTCCCTCCGCCGACCCAGTCACTGGAGTTGGATGTGTAAGAGGCATCTTTGAGTCGTCCCTCCTCCTGACCTCCTATCCACAGCATCAGCAGATCCCCCAGATTCTGGCACTTGAATCTCTGGATCAAGCCCCTTCCTGTGACCACCTCCACTTGTGCTCAGGCCCCCAGCAGGCCGCCATCACTGAAACCCAGGCAGTACCCCTTCAGCCTCCCTCCGCTCCACTGCCCGATTCACTGGCCAGAGGCAGTCATATCTGGCCCTGCCTGTGGTTCCCTACCATTTTCGGGAGGAAGGTCAACCA